TTAACACATCTTAAGCAGGAAATGACTACACTTGTTTTGTTATTAAGCATGAGAAATGATTAAACTCATTTCAAGCAGACTGTTATATAAGTATGGGAGACAGCAAAATTCGTTTTCTATGAATATATATATATATTTTTTCCTTTAATGACAAATTGATTTTTTGTACAGTAAATTCCTAAAAATGGACCACAATAAAATAGAATGTGATGATGAAGAACTGTAGGCAGATAGTTTTTCGAATTATTCCTGCAAGAATGAGCTTATTGATGATGATTCTACTGACGATGAAATTATATGGTGCCTTACGATTTTTTTCCAACCAAGAATTTCAAGCAGTTCTGATTCAAGCCTAGATTCATATGATTCTGAAGAAGAATGGTACTCGGTAAATAATCCATCATCTTGGAAATGTTTTTAGGCCACTCAGGAATAAATAGTATTATGCTATCCAAAACTGTAAAAACAATAGTACTGTAAAAAATATCACTCAATCATCACTACACTAAAAAATGGCATTGATATTTATCACTGAAAGCACCATGGGAAAGGTGAACATGAGACAGTAAAACTGCATCAATGTATTGTTGGTTGGTCATAGTCTCCAGTGAAAGCACATACAGACATGTGGTAATTGATCATGATGCTGGCCCATACTATAAAACTGCATCTCAAGTATCGATCCCTTTCCAGAATGCACTGCTGACCATTACCATTGTAACACCAGGAAGGAATGATCTGACAAACGTCAAAATCACATGAAAGGAAGAATTTGGGATATGCAAATGATAATTATTTCCGTGCATTAAGCTGATGCAGGACATCTGAAGTACTGTATAAAATAAAAATTGTGTAGTGGATTTCTCATTTGGAAAGTGTTTTGTAAAGTTGAGGTTTGCTTAGAATATCCCGTTATATCTTGAATAAGAAAAGGAAATGCTTACCAGCAAGTTTCAAAATTCAATATAGGCAGGATCGTTGGCTATCGAAAGTGTAGATTATCGTTCTGTTATATCGGCGTTTGCACTGGTCGACATCCAACCACTGTCATGCAAATATGGAATCAATGGGTTGCAGAGGTTCATACTGAACAGCATGCAAGATCTCAACGCTTTCCAATTACTAATGCCAGAGAGGACAGACATATTGTGAGGTCAGTGCTGCAAAATCATATGACAAGATCATGGACCATTAGTCAGAAAACGGGCATGTTTGCTGCACACCCAGTATCAACTCGTAAGGTGTGTCAACATTTGCAGCAGCATGGATTATTGCCAGGGTGACCATTACTTTGGCTTCCCTTGACAATGCAGCATAGAAAGAGACAACGACTCTGGTGTACCAAACGACAAAGCTAGGTACAGGAGTGGCACAATGTCACCTTTTCAAAAGAGTCGCGGTTCTACGTGCAGTTTTGTGATGGCTGATACATGTCTGGAGTGTCCGAGAAGAGCGCACATCGTCTGCTTGCATTCAATATTGGCATAGGGCCCTGTACCTGGCGTGATGGTTTGGGCAGCCATTGGGTACACAACATGCACATCTCTAGTTCGGATCGACGGTAATTTGTATGCAGATACCCATCTGCATTTCTGACATCTTACGTCCAGTGGTGTGCTCTATCTTTCAGGCCCCCAAACGGCATGTTCCAACAAGATAAGGCAAGATCACATGTTGCACGTCGTGTTCTGACCTTCCTCGATATACAGGGTATTTGATTGCAGCCCTGGCCTGCACGGTCTCCAGATCTGTCACCCACTGAAAACATCTGGTCATGGGTTTCTGAGACACTGGCCAGCCACCCCTCTCCAGCTAATGTGGTTCATGGAGTGGGGCATAGAACTTGAAGCAGCATGGAATGAGTTACCCATTTCTGTCATCCAAGCCCAGTTTGACTTCATGCCTAATGGAGTAAGGGCCATTTTAATTTTAGTTGCCACGCGTGGCAGCACCCCTGTAAACCTCCAAAATGCGTATAAATTTAATCATTTTGTCTTCATGCCACACTGTTTACGTACAATAAATATAATTTTCGTATTTGTTTTTCTTCATGGTGTTGCAATTTTAATGGCCAGCAGTGTATTTTCTGAATGATAAGCAGTACTACTCTCATGCCCAATCAGTTGGCATCTACAGCTGATGACAGACTGAAGTTACTCTCATCTGAGAATATTATGCAAGCCCCAGTCCTATTCAGTTCCACTGCGATGCTCAGGAAACCACTGCAGATAGGCAGTATGGTGCTGCCTTCTCCCAAACATCTAGCTACAATTGGAAGACTCACTGTCCTACAGCAGTAAGACTTGTAGAAACTGTATTGCACCAGATGGCGCTGTGTGTGCTTGAATTCCTTGGAGTAGTGCAGAACTGAAAAGTGATGACTGAGAAACATGTAACACGAATGCGAAACATTAACTAAAGTTTAATATGTGCTTCCCTTTATTGTAAATGTATTTATTGTGCTGTCAATAAAATTTAGAGAAAATGACAAAAGGCTGAAAGGTAATCCTTGCTGCGTCTGACCAAAGCGAAATTTCTTTATATTTTGATTTGAATATTGAGTTTTAGAATATTTTAGCGAACGCGACAAAGATAGTATATGCGTATTTACAAGACTCATTTGCCATCAGCAGAGCTGGTTTCTTTTAGCTAATAGGGCAATGTACCTGACTATTGCAAGCATCCTACATATACACTGGTTATCATAAATTAAGGAAAAATCACAATTACTGAAAAAGTTACATGTAGAATTTTATGAAACTTACCCACAATATACAACACATAGTAAGGTATCAAATAACATAAAAAGAAATTACCAGACAATTATGATAGTATAGAAATTAGCACATGTATAAAATGAACAAATCGAAGATGTCAGTTTGCTATAGTAAAAGTACCTTCAATATGGAATATAATCGTCTCTAGAAGCAATACAGCACATTCAGCGATGTGTAATGCTTTCAATTATGCGGTCTATCAGTTCCATAGGAAGCGAGAGACATTGCTCTTGCAAAGCAGTTGGAAACGCGGCAAGTGCCTAAGGGGGCAGATTGAGAGCAGCTAGACGTCTCCCTAAATCATCCGAAACGTGCTCAATAGGATTCAAGTTCGGGGATCGAGCTGGCTACTCCATGCCGCATAATTGTTTCCCTGTTGAAGATAATCATCTACGATGCGAGCCCTGTGTGGTCTTGCATTGTCGTCCTGTAACAGGAAAGCATCACCTATTGCCCTGGCATATGGGCGCACATAAGCATCAAGGATGTCATCTCTATAAACATGAGCATTCACGGTTACCCTTGGAAAAACATGGAGGTCTGTGCGTCCACCCAAAGAGATGCCACCCCAAACACAGACACTGCCTCTTTCGTATGCATCTCTTTCATGGATGTTTGATAAAGAGAACAGCCATCCATTACTCAGGCGTCCAGTGGACATGCCGTGCCCACTACAAACAGTCCCTCCTATGGCGTGACTTGAGCGGCACGCAAATGGTTGTTCGCCTCTCATACACACCACCTTCGTGAAGCCTTCTATGCACAGTTGACATTGACACCAACCTTCTGGTGGCTGCAGCAAGGGAGGATCTACTACAGTTTGACACGTTCTGAAAATTTGGTGAGTTCTACTTAATTGGTTGCGATAACACATAAGTACCCAATTAATTTCATTGTTTAATTTGTAAAACAAATAGGTTTTACACTTGGGTAAAGGAAAAATAACTATTATTAATGTTATTAAAGTAAGGTGTGCTTTGAATTTTGCTTAACAGAAATAAAAGTATTTTACTCTTTTAAATTATAAATTCATTGCTGAAATAAAATAAGATAAACCAAAAAATGAAATTTCCTTAATATAATGAATATAAACCAATCCTGCAAAGTTGTCAATCATCAGCAATTTATTTTTTTGCCAAATTAACATACGAAAAACAGTTACCTTTTAAAAAATGGTGGCATGCTGAAAATTATATAAAACAGTAATGAACTAATGAAATTAAAAATGCAACATCTATAATGAAATGGTAAAAATTACATAAAACAAACATCCATAACGAAACATTCAAAATTACACAAACCAGCAACAAATTAACTTAATCAAAAACTTAACTTCAATTAAAAGCACAAAAAATATCTGTAATAAAACAATTTTCCTGTCCATGTGCACTTGAAAAAAAGTCAGAGAATTGCAGAATTCTCAGGGTTACACATCAAATTAGCACTGCTCTCCATGTACACGGTGACCTACTTTAACTTAAAAAAGCATTAGACAAATGCACAAATTAACTACAAGGAATGTGCATTCCTGCACTCTCTAACAGTAAACAAAACATCTTTTCACACATTAATCGAAACAAGCCACAAATATGACCCTCGAATTTCAAAACAGCATGAATTACTATGGAGATGGATGGCAGTATTAAGCACTAGCATAATGTGCATACAAGTTACTAGTGAGCTGCCACATAAATATACGTATTTTCATAAAATTCTCGGTTACTTTAGTGACATACTGCTTTGTCTAGTTATTCTCATCAAGGATGAGCAGATAATGTGATGGTACAAAAATGGCCATACAGAAGGGGAATTAAATACAATATTATTGTATATTTTACATGACTAATTTATTTATAAATATTTAAAAATAAATTATAATAAAAATTTTAAAAACATTATGCAGAATCTTCACAGTACAGAAATACATGGTCTAACCATAAATACCATAAATAACCTTCTTCAGGTATTAAGGAAAGTATATCATGAACAATAAATAACCTTAACAATAATAACTGCACTTTGTTGAAAACTGTAACCAAAGCATTAAGAAACTATACTGAATGCTACATTAATTTAGCCACAAATATAATCTTAATATATATGAAGTTATGCCAATTCTAAGCTTTTTTACACAAAGTTTTTAAACAGTCTGAATTATAATAATATATTTCTGTAAATAATTTTGTATTACATAGTACTTTTGTATAAAAATTAATTACTCACCATCTAGTTGATACATAATCTGTGTAAGGAGGTCTCGATCGTATTTCTCGAGCAAGACCAAAATCAGCAATTTTTATCAAATCTGGGCCCATACATAATAAATTTTCAGGTTTGATATCTCGATGGAAAAAACCATGCTTGTGCATGAAGGCTAAACCTTGCAAAATTTGGAAAAGAATGTTTTTTATCACATTTTCAGGAAAAGGACTGTCCCTAAAAACAAAATTAATTACTTTTAGTGAAAATCCATATTTCAAAATGTCTTTAAAAAAATTTTTAAATGTTTAAAATCTAACAAAATTAAAGTCAGTCAAATATTACAAATTTTGCTTATTCTATCAAATATATTAGTCTAAACAATAAAGCCTACCTGCTTTTAATCAGTTGATAAAGGTTCTCTTTCATATATTCAAAAACAAAATACAGTGTATTATCCTCTCTGATGACTTCTTTTAATTTTACTAAGTTGGCATGACTCAGTTTCTGGAGAGACTATAAGAGGGAAAAAAAATGAAAGTAGAGCAAAATTAAATATTGTCAGCATATGCAGCTCATAAATTATGTTTTGCTGCAGTTAAAACAATTGATTTCAGTGAATGTCCCTTTTATTGATTTCAATGCAGGTCACATCATAATGAACAGCAAAGATTAATATCATATGAAATAGACACATTAGTTTGTGGATAAATGAATTATAAATAGGTATCGTGTAGTAGTATACATATTTATAATTCACTAACTGGCAAAAGAAAATAAAGATAAATAAATGCAAAGACAGCATGTGTATTTTTTAAAGCTTAAATTGAGACATTTAACGTCCATCATAGACAAGAACATTAACATAACCAGTGGCAGATAGAGCCGGTGGGAAACTGGTCAAATGCCCAGTGGGCCAGTGCAGTTTCGGCCGATCAAGAAACTCGAACGATCGAATCGACACAAATGACTCGTCGAGACAGCCCTGGGTGTAAAGGGAATGTGCGTAGAATTAATACCTTCACTTAACTAATTAATACCTTCACTTAACCCCCCCTTTTTTTTTCTCTCAAAGAGTTAGTATGGGAAGGCATTACCAGTTGACCTATGGTACATCGCTGGTGTCCCCCTTACTTTTTACCTTTACCTTCACTTAACACATTGACTGCCAGTCACTAGAGTTAGATTGATAGTTATTGCCACCCATATGGATGTAAAATGTATCCAGATGCCAACATACTTATTATAAGAAATATGTTTAAAAATATTAATAAAAGATAATTATGTGATCCCTAAGTATTATTTAAGCCTTTTATTAAAGAATTTTTTAATTACACGCCAGTGCGTGATTGGCACTATATGTCAAAATTTTCCCCAAATGCCACATTATGCACTGGTGCGTGGAATGTAAAAAATAAATTTAAATAAGAAAAATAAGTGACAGTACGCATTATTTTTATATTAATATCTATTACAGACAATTATACATATTACAAAGGAATTTATAACAAGAAAATTACAAAGATATTATACAGATACATCTAGAATGTTATTTGTGTATTATCTTTGAACAATCTAAGCAGTACCCGAGAGATCCTTCACAAAATTTGCAAACATATATTGTATCTTTACGTTTCCCTTGGGAATAGCAACTTTTGCATTGCTTTCTTAGAATTTTTCCTTCTTTTTTTTTCTTCCCGTGTACTCAGCACATGTTCAGATTCAGACTGATCACACACAGGAGCACGAAGAACAGATGGCTGTTTCAGTAAACTTCATATCACGGATAAACAGTAGTCATACAGTGACGTATTTTCATTGGAATGCTTATTATAGATAAAGTGGGAATTGTTTATCATTATTTGCAAAATATGCAAAAATATTTTCATGGGCCACCTAATTATTTTTCTCTAACAAGGATAATCAGCAAGCATCTGATCTTGCTTATCAATACCGGCCATAAATTTATTATATTGAGTTACAGGTAGAGGTTTTGATTTAATTTCATCTCTTTTGTTTGTTATTTCCACCATATCATTTTTATATTCCATTGGAAATGTAAGTGACGTCTCTCTTATCCTGCCACTTTGCAATCATCACACCATTAACATACTTTGCTACAGTTTGCCCTTTCTTCAGTTTGTTTTCCTTTACCTCTTTCGGAAATGTCTTTCTGTTCTTTCTGATTGTCCCAGTGCAATGAGTTTTTTTATCAGCAAGACATTTTGTCAGTTCATAGCTGTTATAATAATTGTCCATAAATATGCTATGTCCTACATCCAGCATTCCCTCTTTTTTTGCATGTTCTTTTCCACCAGAATCATCCAACATGCCTGTATATATCATAAATTTCAGAACCATACCATCAGGAGTTGTGATCATGTACAACTTGATACCATATTTGTGACGTTTATTTGGTATTACTCTGAATATAAGAAGTCCACGCCACAATACCATCGATTTATCTAAACTAATCTCACGCCCTGGTTAATATATTTCAGATACTCACAAGTTGAACAAATTCACCATATCTCTTACTTTATACAGTCGATCCTTTGGAAGCTCTGTATTCTGATCTGGAATTTCCTGCTCATATTTTCTGAAAATACATGTAAACCAAACAGTGAATCTGTTTTCCAGTAATCTTGCATACGGTTGATTCGTATAGTTCTCATATGTACGATCAATCCCACAAATACCAACAGTTCCTCTTTCGTGGTGCTCTTCCATGCACTGATGCGAGAATGTTTTTCCCCCCCCCTTGCGAAAAAGTACTTTATGAGCATAATCATTAGTTTCAGCAACTATTTCTTCCAAGATACCATCAGTGAAAAAGTGACGAAAGAAATCTATAAGATTGTTAACTGAAACGGGTTGGAGGAAACACTCGGATTTTATGAAAGGAAATTTTTTCATTGATGTTGAATCGTTTTCCCAAATAACATTTTCCACCATAGTTGAATCCTCCTGCTGACATGCAACCTCTTGCACGATTTGTTCTTTATCATCATCAGAATCCGAAATATCATGGGTACCAGTCGGAGGAACGAATTCTTCGTCACTGTCATAACTAAAATCGCTCGGGTACTCATCTGATAGCTCAGCCAACAAATTTGCTATTTCATCATCCGTAAGAGCCTTTTCATATTGAACTTTTCTTTTTTCCGGGTGCGAAGGCCCTGCACTATCATCTCTATAACTCATACTAAAAGATAATTTTTTCAATAAAAAATAAAACAATAATTTCGAAACCGCGATTATTTATACGTAGTTTCTAATTTTCACTCCATGCCAATACCAGAAGAAATGCCCTGCATGCAATGCCAAATGAACTGGAGAATGACTAACAAGTATAGGATTTTCCCGTGCCAGCGTGTGACTGGCTCTGAGACATCACCCCACATCACGCGTTGGCGAGTGATTGGCTCCTTGCTGATAACAAAATGTCACATGCTGGTGCGTGATTGGCAGTCAATGTGTTAACAGTGTATCTCCAAATGATATACAAAAGGCATAGATACGACAAATGGCAAAATCTATTCTGGATAAAATATCAACTTTTAGAAAAATTTTGTCTGCTCACATATATTTGAAAATATTTCAGTATACTGAGCCAGAAACAAAATATTTGCAGACTAAAGGATTAGATTACATCCTAGCATGTAATGTGATTAGGGAGGCTACAAGCTCTTTAAAAGCCATTTCTAGGAACTTTGATTTAATAGTTAACACATCAAAATCATTTGCAAGGGATTGCAATAATAAACTAGAAGGGCTGGGTTGTGATATAATTATAGAAGAAGAAATATCTCCTAAAAGATGCTGAAAAGTGAAACAAATGGACGACGAAGAATCGTTCTGATTATAACTTCAATTGCCCTATCAAACAATTCGAAATTACCATCTTTAATTTTATAATGGATACAGCCATCTCATCTATGGAATGTAGATTTAAAGGTCATAAGAAGTTGTATGAAACATATCTCTTCTCGATCCCCAAAACTTTTCAAAGCCATTGTCGCTGAGCTCTTTCCACTATTTATCTATATTATTACGGCACTATACAGGTATAACAACTGATAATCTTAGGGATGAATATCAGAACCTAGTAATTAAATGGGAAAGGCTAAAAAATTCAATTGAAAATCATTATTTTGAATCTCATACCGAGTTAGAAGGAGAGAGTGCTCTATCTATCAATGAGCATTCATCCAAAGCTATATGCAGTTTTTGAAAAAATTGCATCTTGTCTGTATATAGCATACTCTTGAAATATAATTTACATAGTAATGTGTTTTGCTTATATGTTTGTACTCACCCTATCTATATAGTCATTGCTATTGATGAAGGATATTTTGGCTAAAGCAAAAGTTGAAGATATAATGGAGGAAATATTTGCCCAGGCAACCTGGAACTAAAAAATATTCAAATGGCTAATTATGAATCAACCACTGTTTTGTTTATATAATTATTTAGTCGCTGTTATTTATTGTTATATATATATATGAATGAATAGAATGTTACTTTTCTGCAAAGGTATATTTTTATTTTATAAAATTACTTATGACTTCACATATTACCTAAAGCATAAAATACAACTTCAAAAATGCAACATACTTTCTCAGCTGAGTCGGTCGTAATGCTTCATTTTAAAATTTTTTTAATTTTCGGCTGAGTTACATCTAGTTCAGTTACAGCATGATATGATTTACACATGCAGTGTTATATTTGCTAAATTTTTTTATAAAATAATATTGAATTTAATCAAGTTGAAAAGCCTTTTACCCATATTTTACATAAGTATGTTCAGCTGGGTTGCATCATCAAAGTGCATAAAAACATAAATTTTATTTTTAAAATTTTAAATTTCTGCCGAAATTAAAAAAAAATTTTGTCTTTAAGACTTACATAACTATATTCAAGCACTCATCACTACAGACGCACATCAAAAGTACCCAAAATTAATTTTAAAAACAAAGATTAACAGTTATTACCTGGAAAAAAATGTCCGAGAGGGGCGCCGGTATAAAATATATACCGGCTCTCAAAATTCAGGATTTCGCTCTAGGTTTATTTTAAGTCTCAATTTTGTGTCCTTAGGGTCCATAAGTTATAGTTCATGTAAAATTTTACCACAGTTTAAATTATTTTATATATAGCCCCTCAAAGGGTTAAAACCCCAAATTACAGCAATTTACACGAAATTTACTGAATTACTGTGTGGTGCTTAAGGTTCATCAACAATGTTAAAAATGCATCGAAATTATCAGGATATTTGCAGGTTACCGAATTAGAAGTGGCAGAAACTTATTGGATCAAACGTGTTCAGGAGCGAAGTTTCACAAATGAAATACGGGCATTGAAGAACAACGAGGAATTAAATTCAGAATCAAAACTGAAGTCCCTCAATCCATTTGTAGACGAAAGTGGTGTAATTCATGTTGGTGTACAATTAGAAAATTCAAATTTGGATTACAAACAAGCACATCCAATCGTTTTGCCTGATAAAGATCATTTGACTGATCTAATTATTCTTCACAGTGATCAGGTGGTAGGGCTGGGAGGAAAAGTAGATACTTTAAATCAAATACAAATAAGAGATAAGTTTAGGTTGCTGAAGGCTCGTAGGAAAATTAAAAGTGATCTGTACAATTGCAATGTCTGCAAAATATTTCGAACGAAACTTGTCATGCAAGATACGTCACCTCTCCCACCAGACAGATGCTGAGAAGCCTTTCCGTTTGAGAACTTCGGAATAGATTACGCGGGTCCACTGTATGTCAAAGGTGGAAGAGAATTATCTAAGACATACATTTTACTGTTTACCTGTGCAGTAACTAGAGCCCTGCATTTAGAACTTACAGCTGACCTTTCAACAGAAAAATTTTTGCTTGCATTTAAACGGTTCATAGCAAGAAGAGATTTGCGCCGAATAGTGTATACCGATAACGCCAAAACCTTTAAGAAAGAAGTAAAAGAGCGAAAAAAGAATTAAGAGCTATTGAACGAGGTTCAAGACGAGTTCTCTAAGCAAGGAATCAAATGGAAATTTATGGTTGAGAGGGCGGAATGGTGGGGAGGCTTTTGGGAGCATATGGTTCAGTGTATGAAAGCTCTTCTGAAGAGAATCTTGGGCAAATCATCCTTGACATTCAGAGAATTAAAGACAGTCAAAACAGAAGTGGAAGCTACATTGAACTCCAAACCTTTAACATTTACATACTTGGATGTAGGAGAGCCAGAATCTTTGACCCCTGGTCACTTCTTAATAAGAAAACGGTTACTATCATCGCCGCAAGGAAGCTCTAAATTGACTTCAACAAAGGAGAGTCTTAAACGTCGATTTAGACATAAACATATACTGGTAGAAAGAATCTGGAGAAAATAGAGACAGGATTACTTGATGAATTTAAAATCTGCTCATCATTCCAAACTGGCGAAAACAGGAACCTGTTTGAAGAAAGGAACTACAGTCAAAAGTCGTTAATTCGGACACCCATAACCCGGAATGATCTACAATCTGGACCTCAAAGCTACAAACCTTCTGCGCATGCGCGCAAGACCTTTACGGATATGCTTGTGCGTGTGCGCAAAATACGTTTACGAGTGCGCGTTTAATGTATAACGGATGGTATAAAGGTAAGCTAAAATTATCTAATTATCTATTTCAGTTAATGTTGCAGATTGCGTTGTTCCTTAATCTTCGAATTGGATCCGGCTTATTATTTTTTGCAAACTGTTAGAGCAATTTTATAAAAGTAAGCTTGAACTTTCGATTATGTCAAATAGAATTTCTGATATATATTTACTAATATGTAAAGGATTTACAAAGCGAAAGTATATTTTGAAGTTCATTAAACAAAAAGTGGAATTGCTGCAAAAAATGGATAAAGTCATAACCTTTGTTTATCTAAACTTTAACGTTTGTTTATTTAAACTTTGTTTATCTTTAACGCCGCGGCGGGCACGCAATGAAGTTGTGAAGTTCCATTCCACGCAATGAAGTTCCATAAACAAAGTTTATGGAAGTTGATCTGTCAGCACTATCCTTATCTTCAGGGCAGATTTTTTTATTTTATTTGGCTTATAACTCCGTACTGAATGTAGTATTTCATCTCGATGTACTCCATCTTTGATATGATTTAAATCAAATTCCTCGTCATTATAATTCGCTTCCAATACCGAAGAAAGTGACAGAGGTTATTGAAAACGAAAAAATTTTGATTGACAAATTAGTCGGTAGACACAGCAATTATAGGACTTGAACAGCGGAACTTTGTAACTGAACAAGAAATTATGTCTGTTTATAGAATTAAAGAGAATGTATTATCACGTAAAAAACGAAGCAACTTAAAACAACTTACATTGAAAGAAATGTTTAATAAAGTAAACAAATAAATATTAAGCTTTTTTTTTTTTTTTTTTTGTAAATTTTGATACCCTTTAGATCATAATTGTTTTTTATTTCATAAATTACGGTTTCATATTTTTAATTTTATAATTTCTGCATTCCATCTTACCAGATTTAAACTGATGATCTATAATCCGGAAAAATGGATAATCCGGAATCGCCGAAGTCCCGACGAGTGCGGATTAACAACTTTTGACTGTATTTATTGTATTAGTGCATGAAGATAAAATTCCAAGGCTGATGTGGAAGATGGGCATCATAATGGAAATCTTTCCTGGAAGAGATGGCAAGGTGAGAGCCTGCGCTGTCCGCTTGCCCAATGGCCATATGATTAAAAGACCAGTGCAACTACTATATCCAGTTAAGCTGAAATGCAATAAGGGCAATTACAGCAATTGTCCTTCCGGGACGGAAGATGTTGCAACTCAACTCTTTCTGAGATCTGACGGCTGAGTGACGTCATCTCGAACTATGAACTCTCGCTCAGAGATAATACAAGAACTCGGAATTAATCAATGCACTAATACAATAAATAGTTCCTTTCTTCACAAAGTCGCACGGTGCGGCGTGCCAAATTTAAACCCTTTTGATTATGTAAATATTCTGTAACCTGCTTACATTTTCATCAAAATATGTTTGTGTAAAGAATGTATTGATCATTATGGATTATTCCCTTCAAAGGATTCCAGATAGAAATGCACAGAGGAAATTAATTCAACCAGCAGCCCTGGCAGTACCCATTGGGACATGTTAAGGAGTTTTGTTTTACCTTGATTAATTAGTTAGAAGTGTAAAACACTAACAATAATGATAGAAAATAAATAATACCATCATTGTAGCACTGAATTTCTGAGGGTGTTGAGATCAGTTGTGGGAGTTGAATATGCAATGAAGCAGTACACAGTGATACGCTGTATGTGAACACATATATCTGTACCTACGACTGCAAGCTTGAAATGGTAAGAAGGGAAAGAACCATGACTACTGATGTAGTGAGTAAGTTGTGGAATCGAATACAAGCGGAACGTGGTGATTCTAGGGATGTAGTTTTAAGTTCATCTTCTATGCTCATTGATGTTCCAGTCATTCTACCATTTATGAAAACTGCATCAATCAACCTATTCTCTCAACACCAAGTGTGACTGAATCAAAATGTAATTAAATCTACTGTAACTAAATAATATTTAAAAAGAAAACCCAATGAGAGATCTCGTGACCTCAAGGGATATGCCAGCTGTAAAGATAGCGGTAGGTGAGAAACAATACCTTATCTGCACCTCTGGTTTCTATACGTGGTAGAACTACCATGTTTTGGTACATTTTTTTAGTATATACACAATACCAACAAATACATGCGTGCAGCACAAACCATCTGAATACACAAGGATTAACATGCTTCGTATTTAGCCATCATTTCAGTGAACAATACGTATGTCTGTAAAAATATAAATGCTGGTCATATAGATTTTTGGCATTTTTTCTTATAAAATTTGTCATGTTCCTTTTATTACATACAAAAAGAACAGTACTTATGAGCCATAAACATATCCAACTATTTTTCAATAATTCACAAAGTTGATTATGTCAAATTTTCATAACTCTAATGTATGCTTATAACTAATGTATGTCAAATTTTCATAAGGTGGTCAGATAATCAGAAAATACCGAATAATATTCTAAAGATGTGCAACACTGATCAGCAAGAACCATGCTCAAATACTTCACAGTTATATTCAGCCAAGCATCTCAAGATAAAGCAAGTAGAAAATTAACCATTTGAGATACAAGCATAAAAAATAAGATTATCACATATTGCTCACTGCTGAAATCCTTAGCCATGTGAAATGCTTCTTCTCTGTAAGGTCCCTAAAAATGATTCAGCTTCATACAGCCTCTGCAAAAATGGAATTTTTCAGAGTTGGCAAGGAGAGCCTGAAAATCTGTTGGCAAGACAGGACAGAAAGCAGAGGGTGGAACATCAAAATCTTACTTTTTGCACAGATACAGAAAGAAATGCCCTGATAATAATGTTCAACATTTAAGTAATAATAATAATGTCCAACATTTAAATTAATAAGATATGTTTCATTCTTTTTTATACTAGTTCTTGGCTCATAATGTAATCAATGTTTCAGTAATCTAATGGATATTTTTACACTACAAGAAATGTCCCATTTCCATTAAGATATTTAGGTAATTAACAGAAGACAAAAAAATTAAAGAATTAATCTTATAAAAAATTGGAAAATATGCTTTTAAAATAAAATTGTTGTAAATTAAAAAAAAAAAAAATGATAAGCAATTAAAAGAAAACTGGTACTTTTCTGTTAGCAATACCGGATTCAGAAAAGCATTTATGCATGTGTGTCAGTGTGCATAAACAAAAATACCCATATATGTACTTACATGCATATATTTCTGAATCTGGTCCTAATAACAGAAAAGTACCAGAAAATTTTAAACTGAATATGAATGAACATATTCAATACTAAAATTAAGAAGAATTTCGATTATCAAGTGAAACAAGAGCATGTCTGTAATTTTTAATATATTTTCTACTTTTAAATGATTAAATGTACTATATCTGAGCACTTCTATCCTTCCTTATCTGATCATACAGTTTTTTTGAGTATGAACATTATATTAGAGCAGAAGTTTTTTTTTTTTTTGGGGGGGGGGGGGGTTGTTTTTTAATATCATCTTGTTTCATAAATCATACTTAAATAAAAAAAAGGATTACATTGACTGTTTTATCAGATTCGCTTCCGTTTTGATGATTTAAAAATTTGTCATCTATGCTATATAAAAACATATTACTAATGAATAATTTACAGATAAAAACCATGAAATGAATGATTTATTTATACATTTTTTATCAGTGATTCTAAACACATTTTTCCTCATACAACCCTTCACCACTGCTAGTCGATCATTCCCCTCTCCTTTCCAAAATTAAAAAATTACACATCAGTTTATTTAAATTTACATAATTAAAAAGAAGTGTAGAAAATGTAACTATATACCAAAACTTGAGTAAAAGTAGTTTTTTAATATTCATAAATTTAATCTAAATCCTTACAGGTATATAAATGGTTGACCGGATTCCCCTACCCCTGAAACTATGAAATTGCTCCCTGGTATTTCTCTAGATATTTTCATATCAATAATATTCATTTTACTTGCATTATACTTTTACTATATGCAAGATGTAGCCATGAATAAGAAGTTAGGTTAGGTTAGGCTATTTGAATGAATGTTGCAAAGCACAGAAGGGCTTATGCCTACAGAAAAAGATGTTTTCATGAAGGACTTTTTAAGGGAAACTGGCTCATGTGAAAAATGCAGCATGAACTGTACCAAAATAAGACATTCACTATAAATGGGATCGATCTGTCAGGCACTCTATAATTGTTAACTACATTACAAAACTTTAATTTGTAATTTATAGTTATTTCTTTTTAATAATTTTCATGTTAAATTTTTTTATAAAAAAACTCTTCAATGTTATTTTGCTTATTTATTATGAAATTTATTACAGTTTTCATATTTCAACAAATTTTCTGCTATATTTTTATGAATAAGTTTAATAAAAATGTTACAAAAATTTTCATTGCAATATCATAATCTAATAAATGAAAAATTATATACCTCACACATTCACTAAATTAAAAAAGACTAAAAATTTTAGTTTACTTTATACATTTAAAAGTTGTTACTTAAATGTGAAGCAGGAAATGGAAGACCCTGCTCCTTGCTGATTGAATAACAGGCTAAATGCTGACTAAATGGCTTCATAAAAAAGTAGTCTTTTCTAGCCCATGTGAAAAGGTTAAAGCAGATTTTGTATCAAAACATAGTATTTTTTTCTTATTTTTCAGAAAATAATTTCTGAGAAGGCAGTTATTACTAAAAACATTTATGAAAGTTTTAAAAGATCTACATATAAAACTTTTTCATAACATATAATAAATTTACTTTTACAAAAATAATGATAATATCATATACGGAAACTAAAGATAAATGTAAAAAACAAATTTCATAATTAAAAATATTAAAATGTTTATCTAATGGGAAATGCCACTGTTAATTTTAATATCCTATGAACATTACAGCAGCAAAAGAAGCATATGATAACATACTTTCACTTCTCTTAGATTCATACATTCTTCCCAAGAATGATACTTCTTTTTCATTCTATAAAAATGCAACAAGTATAAAGATCATTATAAATAATTTATTATTATGTGACTAAATATTGATAAATATTTATTACGCTGTGACAAACAAAATAAATTTTTAACAAGAAACAGAACTATATCAAGGATGCAAAAATTGGAAGAACATATTGTAAAAATGTAATATCCCTAAAATTCAATACTTTTATAAACTCTCTTCTCCAAATAACATTAATACTTTATTAGCTTAATGATGTTGAACAATTTACTTCTTAAACTTGTTAAGTAATGTCTTATATATAAATGAAAGCTTTGAAATATTAAAAAAAAAATTTTAAAAAAAACTTCAGTTTTAGATATTCTTTATTTTTCTAAAAGTTCAAATCACATTAAATAGAAATTGAGAAAATCCTACATTAGGAAATGTTCAGAGAAAATGTTATGGTACATAACATATAATTTAAAGATGAATAAATCATTTCTGGCAATATTAAATACAGCAAATTTTTTGGTCAGCTGCACAGAAAAATTGACAAATTTAAAATTTAATAACTGTTAAATCTATATGTCAGTCAATTTTTTATCACAAAATAAAACTAATATTTTGCCTATAGAAAAAAATATTCCTTTATTTTCACTGTATTTAAAGATGAGTAGACAACATATGTTGGTTAAAATTTACTCTACAGTACCGCAGGACGAATTGTCTAATTTTTGACGCCAAGATGGCTTAACTTTAAAAAAAAAAATCGGAGAATTGCACAAACTATGCACTGCCTTAACTGTGTGCATGCACACATTGACCTATTTTAAGTTTAAAAAAAAAAAATCGGCGAATTGCACAAACTAGGTACTGCCTTAACTTTGTACACATCGATCTATTTTCACCTTAACAAAATCAGGAAGCTAAAACAAAGTTAAAACTAGCATGTTAACCAGAAAAAATTCGCCGTTGTGTTAACACACAAAGACGAACAAATAACCAAAAATACAATGACAGAAAGTAATAAAAAACCAAAGATACATATTTCTTAACATAAAAACATTAAACAACAAATCTTTTAACAAAAATTAACACAAAGAGACGAATTAATAAATGAAACGTCAATTTTTGAACATACCTTTACATTTCACGTACACATTCACGCTTTCCACCACCATCTCCTCCATCCTCCACGTAAGCAATTCAATTAAATTTTTGGTTCCTTCGACTCATCCGCTGTTAATCAACATTCATCCTCTTACCCATTTCAGACATACTCAAATGATGGTACCCACAGCAAAATAATAGCAAGTTCAAAATCCAAGACCATACCGTGCACGTGCAAGCAAACACAGCAAGTGAAAACCAAACCCGGGCCCCAAAAGAGTTACTACAGTCAAATACCGAAAATCTGCCGACCTGAAATCCGTGCTGCCTCTTAAAATATAAACATTCAGTTTATAGGTTTCGGAAACCGCAACATTAAGTACGAAATATCGAAGAAAAAATACTTATTGAATAATGACGTCATAATTACCGAATAATAATGAGTAAATACCAAATTATTGATGTCATGATAAAAGTTTTGTCTCCTCTAATCTGCATCAAGGTAAGAAAACAGTCACTCAACTCTTCTTTCAGGTTCACGATTCACATTGTTGTATTTTCTGAGCTTTGTTATTTCACAAGATTATTTATAGTGTTGCCTTTTTTTTTTTCATTCGTATATTTTGTGGATAAATTAAGAATATTTTTAATTTCAGCCCTTTTTAATACAATTACAGATTAGAAATGCATTCATGATTTTACTGCTTGCAACGTTGAAAAACGTAAACATGTTGCCTTGACAGTAATACAAAAAGTGCAAATTCTGCAAAAGATGGAGACAGTTGCTACTCTTTGGTTTATAGCAGAATCGTATGAAATTGCGACACGATTGTATATGATATACAGAAAAATAGAGAAAAACTGTTGAAATTTTACAACGACAGTGATTCTAACACCGGAATCCGAAACCGGAAATCTTTGCATGAGGCGAAATCGGCAAACCTCAGTGCTGTGCATCCATAATACTATGAATAATATAATCAATTTATATATGTAATAATAGTTTAATGCATATAATAAGTTATTGCAATAATGTATATAATAATTTAATTAAATGTATCTAATAATCCTTATTTATTTTGCACTTTTAGTCTGAATATTATGATTTATCATTTCTATCCTGAAATCCGCAAAACCCTAAAATCCGCACAACCTCTGGTCCCAAGCTTTACGGATTTCTGGAATTCTTCTGTATTACAAAAAATAGCCCAAATCTAAATTTATCAGAACACATTTGGCAATATTCGCAGAAAAAAACCCCTTTTTAATTACAAAAACTTTTAAAAAAAAATCCCCAAGGCTAGTTTTGCTAACATTATCAACATTAGGGTTACTGAAAAACCTATTTCACGCAGCTGGCTTCCAGATTTCACGAACAACCAATACCACTTGGCGATTTTTTCAGACAGAACCCAAGGGGTACCGGTACAGTAAAGATCAGCCCATATGTTTAATCGTATTAAAAATTTTTATTTCAGTACATTTTATTGTATAATTAGTATTGAAATTAAATAATTATTAGTCACAATTAGTATTGAAATGCATAAATTGAAAAGAGAACTTGTCTACAGAATTTCCTCATACATTTTTTTTTTTTTTTTTAAACTACCGTAACATTTACCAAATAGCATTTCTTCCACAAAAGAGAAAAAAACACATCATAATGAAAGCCATTACAAGTGTTCAGTGGTTAAAGATAGCTAAAATGCACAGACAGCAAAAATACCATCTCTGTAGGAATCACTAAAATATACACTCTCTAAAATCTTTTCATGCTGCCTGCGATGTGAGATGACATTTGCATGTCTATGATTTTAGAAAGTTTTATGTTAAAAAAATCACAGAGTTTTAGTTTGATCACTGGAGATTTGTGTGATCATTCATCCAGAATATGATTGCGTATTGCCCCATTTCAGCCAAAAGTTGAGAGAAAGAAGAAAACAACATGAAGTGACATTCCATCCTACATGAATGTAACAAAATTCAATATCTGCTTTACTACTAACACAGATTCTTTTTTTTTCAACAAGCAAGAATAATACCGATTTTTTATTTTGATAACCTAAAAGCAAAGCTATATACTCAAGATTCCAAGATACGATGGTGTCTAGTGGACTTCGTTGCAATAAAAATTTACATAATAAAAATTCTCATTAAAAATTTTTGGTATTTCTTTACTATAGCAGCCCCCAAGATTGAATTGCTAATCGACCAAGATATCTCTGTGAAATCTCATCATGTGTTATTATACTTTGCTACATGTTACATCTCGGTTCATTACTGATTAAATTTGGGGGGGATGCTGCAAAAAGGAAGTGCCAAATTTTCTGTAACATTTTTTGTTCATAAAGATGACCCAAAATAACATTTTCTTTATATAAGCTCAATCTTTACAACATTGAACACTGCTTTATGTTTCATTGTGGCTATAATTTTTATAATTTTAAAAATAAAAATTTCAGAATTTTTACAAATAGTAATATATATCAGACAGTACTAAATTCATTTGTAAAATGTTTAAGATACAAATGATCTGTTATGAAAATGGAAAAAAATACATATACGTAATATATATGTGTGTGTATATATATATATACATATATATTACTCAATATTTTAAATTCCAATATTAAACAAAAATATGCCCTTTACATTCTTGTAAACAAATCCTTAAAAATTAAATAACAAAAAAATTACATAACAAAGAAAAAAGTGCAAGCACTATTTTTAAAATGTGTAATGAAAACTAGAAAAAGCAAGTTAACATACAAGCATGCTCCAGGTTACCTTTTAATAGCTACTTTCTCCCCTGATTCCAAATTGTGAGCAAGTAATACAGTGCCGTAAGTGCCATTACCAATTGTTTCCACAAACTTGTAGCGCTTAGCCATTATTGTCATGTCTTGCATTGAAGTAATAATTTAAGACATCATAATAAAACTGCATGCATAGATAACTTGTCATTGGTGATAAAAAGGCACAAAACTTCATTCACCACCTGAGTGATAAGTGCAGGGATGAAAATAAAGTACTAAGAAAAAAGCATTATGTATCTATAGAATGCTACATAAAAATAAAACACAATTATTCTAATCATCAGGACTCAAGACATGCATCTTGAACAAAATACCTAGCAGAATACCATACATGAAAAATTATAAATATTAATTATTCTAAATATACATATATTAACATACATCTGAGGTATCCCCTACTATAGATGCAAGATCAAAGCCAGCAGGAAAAAAAAAATAAATAAAGTTTATTTTTGTACTCGGAAGTTAAATAAAAGTTAACAGTAAATTTGGTAAAAATAATGGAAATACATGTTATGTAATCTCCACAATACAAAAAGGAAATATTGACGTATCTAATTTAAAAATTTCTGTTTCTACGGTATGTGAGACACACAGAATTTCTTAACAGCATCAAAAAACTATTTAAAATTATTTAAATTAGAAACTTATACTGTTGTCGTCACATAAATTCACAAAAATAAAAACGAAAAATATTCTCCGTACTACCGGACTGCCGATGGCATTTCTTTTGAAAATCCCTTTTTATTACACCCCACATACTTTCCAAAGTGTTGATATGAGCTCCGGTTTCCAAATTCTTAAATCTCATTACATAATTTACCGAGAGGTGAACGAAGTCATTTAAATCTTCATCTACACACAGTCAATCAATGTTTTCTTTCCTCAATTGTTCTAAAGTTTACAGAAACTTCAGGTTTTATGGTGTAAAGCACAAAATAAGCAACATATTTCCTAATCAACATCCAACACATAAATAAGGGCTTATAAATATTTTTTCATCAGTCAAATTTACCTCAACCACGTCATAATAGGATTTCCATAAAATAACTCAGATTACCATAAATGAGACAAGAACTTGGCGATAATCCAAGGGGTACCCTAAAATAGAGA